GCGGGCGCTGTCGGAGGGTGAGGGAGCGGGCTCTGTCGGAGGGTCAGCGCCGAGGGGAGCGGGCGCTGTCGGAGGGTGAGGGAGCGGGCTCTGTCGGAGGGTCAGCGCCGAGGGGAGCGGGCGCTGTCGGAGGGTGAGGGAGCAGGCTCTGTCGGAGGGTCCGGCGCTGACCTCTGACCTTACCTCCTCCGTTCTTGTAGCACAGGTAGGGGAAGCGCCAGACGTTCCCGAGGCCCACGGCGAATCCCACGCACGACATGATGAAGTCCATCTGGTTCGACCAGGTCTCCCGCTGCGGGGTCTTCCGCTCCGGCCCTGGGGGGGGGTCCGCAGTGCCCGCGGGGCTCCCCGCCCTGCTCCCTGCTGAGGGGCTCCTTCTGCTCCCTTCCTTCTGCCTCCATAGCTGAGCCTCCTCCGAGAAACACCCACCCTTCCCTCGCCTTGCGCCATCACCGCTGTGTCCAGGATGAGACCCCATTTCCATGCTCATGGCTTGTGCCCCAGTTGGGGAAGGGCGACTTGGGGAACAGGAGGGTGGGGGTAGGTGGGATGGTAGGTGAGAGGGAGAGGGGAGGCTGTAGATATGGTTGAGCACGTTCTCGTATTCCTAGCACTGCCTCCAGGTCCGAAATCAGAGCTGACGGTGGGAGTAGTGGGTTTGGCGGGGGGTGGGGGGGTATCAGAAACAGTCCACAAAGCACTTGAAACTGAGTCTGAAGTAGTGCATTAGAGACGGCTGAGCGACCGGGAGCCCTTTACCGTGATCCCCGCTCGCACTCCCTCTCTTTCCCGGGAACTCTCCTGTCGCCCCTCTTCCCTTCGCTCGGGAAGCGTATACGCGCTCGGAATGCTTCGCTCTCGCTCCTCAAAAGACTGTGCGGGATTGAGTGCCAAGCAACGCTGAGAGACGGCTCTTATAAATCTCTCTCTCTCTCTCACACACACACACACACATCCCCGCCCCTCTTGAACCTGCCCCAACCCCTCCCCCACGCTCCGCACTCCTCCCCGACGCAGCTATTTCTGGGGTCCTGCGATCTCCAGTCTCGGCCACTCATTCTGTCTCCCTCCCTCCCTCCCTCGGCCTAGCTGTGATGTGACAAACGCGATCACCGCTTTTAATTACAGGGGAAGCAAGAAGCGTATGTCTTGCTGTCTCTCTCGCTCTCCGAGTCTTGTTGCTTTTCTGTGAGAGTTAATGATTACAGACTGTTGGGGCCTGGATAATGTCAAGTGTATGCGTTAGATCGGACACACACACACACCCTGTCCTTCTCACACAGTCTCACACTCTCTCTCTCCCACACTCTCTCTCACACTCTCTCTCTCACATACACTCTC